TGACCCCAAAGTCGATGCAAGTTTACAGTGTACCATTAATCGCCCTGTACAATTTTTATTTATGATGTTTTCAGTTCTTCGAATCCATGGGTCTCGAGACAATAGTAGGATGGACTTCTGAATTCTGGAAATCGAATCGAAATCGCATCATTTTCTCAGAAGTTATAATCTTACAAACTCGAGCGAAAATTTCAGGTGTCCCACTTCAATTGTGGGGCACTTTAATATACCGTATGACAACGAATTCATTGGCCAGGGCGTCACCCATCAGTTGTTTTTCATGTTTATCTCTTGGGGTTTGGATCATAGTTATAGTTCTCCTAAACCCATGGGTCTCGAGACAATAGAATGAGCTTCTGAATTCTGGAAACCAAATTGAAATCGGATCATTTTCTCAGAAGTTATAATCTTACAAACTCGAGCGAAAATTTCAGGTGTCCCACTTCAATTGTGGGGCACTATAGATTCAAATCTAATATTTGAGTAAATAAATAAATAAATCATTACGGAATGTTATCTCGCTATCAAACTATGGCAGTTATGCACATTTGTTTGATAAATATAGCTCTCTCACAGAGGGTATAGCTATTATACAGCATAATGGGGATCTCGGAAACGATAGAAGGTGAGACTCACTCAGAGGGTCATTGCAGTGGCAAATTTAAAAAAGATATATACTTTTTCAGTTACATCAAAAAAGTGAATTGTTGAAATAGTCATTTGTTTTACTAGACAGCAAAGTAGTAGGCTGATTGCCGCGGCTGATAGTTCATAGCCGAGCTGCCATGTGAAACATATATTTTTTTCTCCAAATGTTATAGAACCGATTTTGTGTAATTGTATTATTGAAAACTCCATCATTTTCTGTTCATCCAATGTAAGTGTCAATTTTGATCACCAATTTCATTCAAAATCGTCGTCATCTAAATACTCCACTGACCCATCCATAACTCCTCATAGATTGTTACAATGGGCTGCATCATCTTCTTCATGATCAAAATCTGAGGTGAAAGAGTCACTCTCAGAATAATAATAATAATAATTTATTTCCAAATAATATCATACAAAATTAAATTTGAAGAGATATTAAAGACATTTCGAAAATAAGAAGTCGACAAGCCCACTGAAATCATAAGATTAGTTTGTGGGTATCATAACTTTAGTAAGTTCAAAAATCTTGAAAACAACTAAAGAATAATGTAAGTATCATTTGACATTATGTATAAGGAATACAAACAAAAATATCACCTACCTACCTATTTGGTTTTCAACAGAAAAAGAAAGGAAAAAAAGGAAAAAAGGAAAAGGGGAAGAAGAGCCATAAGTAAAAGTAAGACAGTAAATAATTGAATAATAGTAATAATAATAATTAATATCTCTGGATAACTAATGATAATGTGATTGGGATTTGCTTGACTTCATTTAATTTCTATTAATTTATGAAAATAGCTACGTGGAGAGTTCAGGAGCCAGTGTATCAGGCTTTTTTTAAAATGCAGTAAATTAGCATGTTGCTTCGTTATTTCAGGTAACTGGCGATAAATGTGCGGTGCCAGAAAAAGGAACGACCTCTGAACTAGAGATTTTGTCACTTTTATATTTTTTGTTTTCATTTCTCTTTTATGTCTTGTGTCATGGTCATGTTGTATTTGGATTAAGTCATCGCGATTTTAATGTTGTATAATTAGAATTTTTTTATGTAAATCTGTCTAATGTCGAGTAGTTCGCTGTCTTTGTATAGAAGGTCGGTGGGATAGGTTTTTTTTGCCGTATATGATTTTTATAAAAAATTTCTGCATAACTTCGAGTTGATGTATGTGATTTCAACAAGTTCCTCCCCATCCCGCAATTCCATATTGAATATGTGACTCTACAAGAGAGTAGTAAATTTACTTGAGGTGCGGAATATCTAATATCTTTGTCAGTCACCCTGTATACTACCCGGTATACAATCTCCAAATTCCTCTTGTTCCCAATCGTCATCCTTGGGCTCATCACTCCACTATTCACAATATTCTCGAACAGCCCTAATTCGACACCTCTGTCACTCAAAATCTCTGTGGAATCTCTACACCGTGCCACAGATTAACCCAACTAGTTGGGTTAATCTGTGACCGTGCATTGATTCCACAGACTCCCTATTCTCATCCGACCAGATAGTCTTCGAACCGAAGCTTCTTCGTCACTCCTCCAACATATATACTTGCTCTACCGGGAAAACAGCAGGACTCCTCTTCTTCCGCCGGTTCCTCTTCTTTCTAGGACGAACTTCTTCTTGTGGAAAATTCTCAAAATTTCCACCTTGATTTCCACATAGTAATAAAATTTTTCTGCCTAGGCAGAGAAAGTAGACCTTTGCTGCCTGTTAAGGGTTATAGAAAAGCAACTACTATGCCGTTTGGAGGAAAAATTATTTTTTTGTCGACCTCTACAAAAAATCACATTTCACGTTTTAATTTCCGAATGAAAAACCGACTTATTCCGAAAGCAAGTGCTTTTCGTCCGCAGACACTAACTTTTCGTCCGCTGCAGGGATGCCAGTTCTACTGAATTTTCAGTAGATCAACTGATTTGCATATTGATCTACTGATCTACTGAAATATTTCATAACCTACTGAAAAAGGTTATTTATTATTATAATTACCTATATTATAATTAATCTTTAGTGAATCACGTACACTTATAATTTGCTTGATATTTTGGCACACTTTGTTTATAAATTAATTTTACAAAATAAGTAAAAAACTCACACCAATGATATGTATAAACCAAAAAAGGGTTTCTGATTCAGATCAGATTCGATTTTTCATGACATCTGTTATTACAGTTTGTTTCTTACGTTTAATTTTTTCATTTGTTCTGTATTCTTGTTATTAATTTTTACTATTCGTTTCTGTTTTTTATATACTCAGATCTTATAAGTAGAGGTACCTATGTAACCGTATTTTGTGATATTTGCGAGTATTTTCAAATTGAGAATTAGAAATATGATCATTTTTTTATGAGAATGTTTGTTTTGTTTGTTTCTATTGTTTTGGAAATAGGTTACTTCTCTGTTTACTAGAGGTACATAATGTTTTGATAGGTTTATTTCATTATTGAGCGGTTGAATGCATTATATTCAATTATTCTTGAGATATTGTGAACCAATTAACTATGTTCATTTCTTAACGCCTTGTATCTTGAGAACTGAACACTTGAAGGCCGTAGGTTCCTATCTCAGTGATTATGAAATCACGAGGGCTATCACCTGTCAAGCGTTGTCGGTCGAATTTCGAAACACCCTGTATAATGTTTCTCTCTTATATATAATGTTCGTCTATATAGATTCATATTTTTGTAACAACCTGACTATTCCAATACTTTTTTAGAAAGTCTGAAGGAAAACTCTCACACGGGGGCGGAGGGAAACATTATACAGGGTGTTGCAAAATTTGACCGACAACGCTTGACAGGTCATAGCCCTCGTGATTTCATAATCACTGAGATACGGACATACGGTCTTCAAGTGTTCAGTTCTCGAGATACAGGGCGTTGAAGTTGAGAAATTAAAATAGTTTTTTCGCAATATCTCAAGACAAATTTAATATAATGCATTCAAATTCGGTATGTGGTTTCATCTTTCAATGGTTAATTTTTTGACCAGAAAGACATTCCGATAATTTAATCCAGAGGTGCGCTACAGAGGGTTGTGATTACTTTGCCTCCCATATTTTCTACGCCACTTATTTCCAATTTCTCGAATTGATTGTTCAATTATGTTGAAAAAATGCATCACCTTCAACTGAGCTAAAATGAACAGTCATCGAGATATTTGACCCAAAATAGAAGTTTGCATAGCAATTTTTCATCTTCCTCAGTAGTAGAAAATTACAAAAAAATTTTGTTTTCTCGTGGAATAACTATTTGTGTTCAGCTATAGAATGAGGTCTGAATAGTAACTAATCTACTCAACACCAGAAGAATATTGTTTCAATTTTCTACCACTGAAAATGATGAAATATTACTACGCAATCTTCTATTTTGGGTCGAATATTTCGAAAACCGTTCATTTCAGCTCACTTGAAGGTGATGCATTTTCTGAACAAAATTGAACAATGAATTCGAGGAATTGGAAATAATCGAAATTTGATCAGTGGCGTAGAAGATATGGGAGGAAAAGTTGTCACAGCCCCCTGTAGGGCACCACTGGATAAAATGACCGGAATGGCTTCCTGGTCACAAAATGACCCATTCAAAGATGAAACCACATTATACCGACGTTGAATTCATTATATTCAATTATTCTTGAGGTATTGCCAAACAACTATTTTTATTTCCTAACTTTAACGCCCTGTATCTCGAGAACTGGACACTTGAAGACCGTATGTCCCTATCTCAGTGATCATGAAATCACGAGGGCTATCACCTGTCAAGCGTTGTCGGTCGACTTTCGCAACACCCTGTATAATGTTCGTCTATCATATTATGTAATCTGTCATTTATCTAGTTTATAGATTTATATTTTTGTAACAACCTGAGTATTCCTATACTTTTTTAGAAAGTATAATGGAAAATAAAGATATTTAGGGGGCGTCGCCCTAGCTTCTCAGGTAAGGCTCTAGCCGTTCGATATCTGAAGTTAAACAGTGTCGAGCGCGGTTAGTACTTGGATGGGTGACCATTCTAGGAAACGCCGCGTAAGCCCGTACATCTGTAGCGGAATAGCATATCATAGCTACAGCTACCATATCAATGAGCACAAGATATGGTACGGATATGCCGTCCTTCGGAGGGGACGTTAAGCCGGCGGTCCCGAGGCCATGGATGTTGGACTCGTTAAAGATCCCTACCTCTGGTTGTAACACCAGAGGATTCGGCAAAAATTTCCGGTTGGGGGTATGGTGTGCTCACTGGCGTCGGTGATTAGCCTCAGTAGCAGAAAAAGGCCGACGTTAAAGAAACGAATAAAAAAAAAGATATTTAGGTAATGAATTAACCGTGGGATAATTTGTTTGCAGGTGCGCGGCCACAGCAGGGCGTCCAGCGACTCGAGCCAGTTCATCCAGGCGACGAAGCGAGATGCCTTGAACATGCTGCAGAAGGAGCTCGACAAGCTCCTGGCCACCTGCGAGCCCTACAGGACCGAAGAGGCGCGGAAACAGTTCGACGGATTCTCCAAGCTGTTCACCAGGTTCCTCGACGAGAGTGGACCGTCCGTCGATTGGAACAAGATCGAAAAGCTGCCGAACGATGCGGTCAGTAAAGTTTATGCAAAGTCAGTTGAACAGATCATCAAACGAATGTCGGGCTGCGGTTTTACTAAATATACTGCACGCTAGCACAAACCACGCCCACCATAATACGTCATATCTCCAAACATTACCGATATACTCGGAGTCAGCACATCGTACTAAATATACTGTGCTCCAACGCAAGAATACACTTTTTATGATTTTGACACGAATTCGACTGAAGCTCTCTTGTTGTCTATCTCTTGTACGCAGTGAATTCATATACCCAAATGGTCTACTGGTTAGTGCTGTCGACTTTCAGTCTGAAGGTCCATGGTTCGAATCGCTGTGAACTTGAACTTTTTTTTGCAACTTTTTTTTTCACCAATGTTTTTTTACCTCATTCTGGTTTTCCTTTTTCATAAAATATTTGAAGTCAAATAGGTTAGTGCGTTTAGGATAAACAGTCTCATTTTATTCAATTTTGTTGAAGAACTCAACTTTTGAAATATACAGGGTGTTTCATAATTGAATGCTGATCCTTAAGGGCGATAATCCTTGGATGATTTCAAAGAGAAAAGTTCATATCAACATATGTCCTAAACCTCTTAGTTATTGAGCTACAGGGTGATGAAATTTCAAGAAAAAAATTTGTTTTTCATCATAATTTTTTATCACTCTTAGATATTGTTATGATATTTTGTATACACCTTTTCATTATTGGGGAGCATTTTTTTACGTGGAAGATATTCAAAAATTCTCACCAGTGGCGTCCGTACGGGGTTTGAACTGACAATTTTTGAAGAAAAAAATAGTACGCCACTGATTTTTCTGAGAACCAGATTTTTTTTCCAATTCTCATTCATTTTGGAGCAAATTTGGTTCCTAGACTTACTTTCATACAACGTACCGTTTTCGCGTAAAAAAATAAAAACCAAAGAATTTTGTTCCTTCAGTTCTTGGATATTGTTTTTGGTAATTCAGTAGACACCCACTATAAGTGGAAACACATTTTGTTTTGGGACGAAAATCAAACTTTTACTTTTACCAGTGATGTCCTCGTAGACCTGATATTGAATTTTTTGTTTGAAACAACGCTGTACGCTTCTGATTTCGACACCCTGTGGCTCAAAAACTAAGAGGTTCAGGACATATGTTGATATGAACTTCTCTCATTGGAATCATCCAAGGATCATCGCCCTTTAGGATCAGCATTCAATTATGAAACATCCTGTATTATTAATCAATGTGTTTCTACACTCCATTCGGTTTTCCTTCCTCAAAAATATTGCAATCAGGGATAGGTTAGTTCGTTAAGAATAAATAGTCTCTGAGTTTTGCCTAAGTACTTCGAAGATGAGATATTACGGTGGGCGTGGTTTGTGCTAGCGTACAGTATATTTAGTAAAATCGCTGTCGGGCTGCGCTGCCGCACTCTTTGAACTTTCAAAGGGACCGACGGCTTGCGGTGATGTGTTTTTCCAACTGACTTTGCATAAACTGTACATAATAATAATAATAAATTTTATTCAATAAGCATCTACCTACACTACATTATAGGTACATGATGTAGTACGATGCTTGATTGTTATACATCTAGTAAGTAGTAATACTCATTGAAAAAGACCACATTCAATGTCATTAAACAACCAGTGATAATACAACCACAGATTGAAATTTGAACTATGACCTTGTTCTTCCACATGGCCTTGAAAAATCCTAAAACTAAGATCCTATAAACTAAAATAACCTAGGTATGTATTATGTGAAGTACTTATATAGTTTAAATCATGCGCATGAGTTCTGCCGATAGATTTCTATTTATCTATACAAAGTAACAGACGCTCCTCTGATTCGGATACTATATACGAAATTACTTTCTTATTATATTTCCTATTCCATCAGGATATGAATATGTTTTATATTTTAAAATCAATAACAAAATCGTCTTCCAGTAGCAGACATTTCACTTTTTTCTTGAACTGATTCATATCACAACATTTTATTTTTCTTGGCAGAGCATTCATAACCTTACATATTACATAATATGAGAATGAACTTTTCGTCAGAAAGTCTCTGTGGCGGATGTTAATGCTACGTACGTCTGCACGTAGTTTTAGTTTACGGTATAAGTATATCGGTGTTTTGAGTTTAATGACATTATGAAACAAACAACTACCATGAAAGAATCTCCGTTTTTTAATGCTCAACCACTTCAGGTCAGCAAGTTTGTGTGAAATATGTGGACGAAATGTGAGATTTTCATCAAAAATGATTCCCAAATTCTTCACATTACTTTCCACCTCCACTATTAGATTATCAACACTGATAGGTACCGTCTGTTGAGGTTTACATTTGGCTATAAGTGACTTAGTACCGAAACAAATCGCTTGCGATTCATTTGGGTTTATTGAGAGACCATGATCAACAGAATATATTTACTAATACTCTCTAAGTACTGCGTTCAAATTAACTATGCGTTCATTCACATTCTTATGATCACAGGAACCACAGATTTGAACGTCATCAGCATATAAATGAATATTAAAGGTACTGTCTAAATTATGTACAATATCTGCTGCGAAAATCACAAACAGGATAGGGCCCAGAATACTGCCGTGCGGCATATCTCTCTCTATATCTCCCTTTCAAATGTCAAGACATTCATCCATCCTGGTCGAGACTATCGCGGTGTCCTAAGTCAGGGCCTACCTATGCAGACGCGACGGGACGCGATTTTGAGGCGAAGTCGAGCGAAGCGATGCGAAGCGGCTGTGATGTCCTACGTACTCCGCGCCATATTCCTGTTCGCGAATTTGTATTTATATAATGGCAGGAAGTATTTATTTATTTATTTATTGAACAAATAACTTCCAGACAGAATAGGCTCTGGTATAAGGAAGTACATAATTATATACCTATAGGTAAACATAGCATCATTCAAAATATATCAACAACTGTAAATTGGCAAACAAAGAATAATATTTGTAAATGAAAAAAAAAAATAAATGGCATGATTAATTTTATCCAGTCCGCTGAGAAATAATCAGTTTTTTTACTTCATTTTTGAATATACCTATATTTCTGCAATTTTTTATATTATCAGGTAGTTTATTGAATTCAGTCAAGGCTGAATGAGTGAATCTTTTTTGTCCGATTAGGGAGCTAGCGGCGTCAAGATGGAACAAGTTATATTGTCTAGTTTCATGATTATGAATTTCAGAATTCCGTATCAAAATAATATTCGACTTCAATTTTTTATTTATGATATTATATGATATTTTGAGAGTTTCAATTCTATATATTTCATCTAAAGAATACGTATTTGTTATTTGAGAACAAATTCAAATTCCTGGAGAAATATGAATATTATATATCTACTCGCTTCGCACTGCTCCGCTTCGCGTTTGCATAGATTTCGCCCACGCAGGACATCGCGTATTATGGAAATATTTCATGTCCTTTCAACGCCTTTGTAGGTCAGAGATTACTGCACCCTGGAAACTCCCACTGCTGACCTGGTGCACCAAATGCTCGACAAGCTGGTGGTTGTCAAGTTGAACGGAGGTTTGGGAACTTCGATGGGGTGCCACGGGCCCAAGTCTGTGATATCGGTCAGGAACGATTTGACGTTTTTGGATTTGACTGTTCAACAGATTGAAGTAAGGACCTACATCAACTACACATCTATGGCGATCACTGAATAATCCAGATTTAATAATACACCGGCAAGTAGTGACAGATTTTCGGACTTGATTTCACCCAGTATGCCTTTTGTAGGGTATCATTATGTATATATTACGATGTTAAAAAGTGATATATGAAAAAATCCTCCTGGGTTCTTCATGCATTAAAGCCTGTTTTCAAGGTCTAGGAGTACTTGGACATGCACAAAAAGTATGCCATTTTTTCCATAGCATATATGTATAGCACAAACATGTATACTCCTTAAATGCCGCTTGTTTGAAAACATGATTCCTTTTGGGATCACGCAACCGGGTGTGCATTTGTATTTTCAACTACGCATATCACTTTTATTTCATTTTGGAATACAGACAGCTTGTGTGAAATTGTATCAAAGCACTCAATTTGCGAACAAATAATGTTAATTAACTTGAATGCATGAAGAAACCGGGAGGATTCTTTCATGTATCATTTTTTAACATCAATGGTACCCTCCAAAAGGCATACTAGGTGACGTCCAAAAATCTGTCATTTAACTCTCGGTCTATATATTTTTCAAAAGCTATGAAGAAATAGTTAATTTCAGATTTCTTGGGTTTTTCCCTATTTATTTCTGGAAATTACAAAAATGAATACTTATTAAATAAATCTACATTGTGTGTGGTTTAAGAGCACAGCACCCTCTTAATTTGAAACCCGTTGATATGTATGTTGAAAAATACTCCATTTTGTGATTTGTGGAAATAAAACAAAATAATCTTAGCTAGCGCAGTTACTACTAGAAGCAGACGTTCAAAACAAAAAAAACTTGTGGTTTACTCCGTAGGTTTGACTTATTATATTGTGTTGTCATGAGTATAATATCAGGATGTTCTGAATATTCGAGTCGTCCTGCATGACGTAGTTATACAAAATTATGAGAAAATATTCAGAACAGAGTGGTATTTTGCTCGACTATTTCACGTTCACGAAGCATTTATTATGAATGAGTGATTCATTCCGACAAGTACAGCCATATTATTTCATGCCAAACTGACAATATTTGCTTCGCTATACATGGTTACATCCAGACTGTGATTTGACAGCTCATGTTTTCGCGATAAGCAGACGTTGATTGTGATTGGTCAGATTATGGAATGAGTGAAATAGACAATGAAAGGTGTCAATGTAAAAGTTATCGACTTTCAACTTGTGTATATGTCAAGTGTTAGATATATAATTTCAACAATATATAACAGAAAGCAACAACTACTTTTCTGATGACTAATGAATAGCATATGATTAAAATTGAATTAGGAACTTATTGATTCATTCGCCATTCAAACACACCACAAAAGGTACGAATCAATTCTGTAATAGATAAAATCAAATTATGTTCACTAACTTTTATTCACAAAAAGTGATAAATTCCATCAAACTTGAATTATTATAATTATACTGTCTATAGGTTAATCAAGAAGATGGTACATCCATTTTACTTGATCATTTGGGATTTTCTCCTCGTTATTTTAATACAAGTGTAGTAGGGACAAAATCAGATGGTTATTTGCCCCAAAATGTCACTGCGTTCAACAAATTTTCCCCTCAAGGAGCCTAAAAGAAAAATCCAATAGCTTGTCAGTGACACTTTATTTGGAAAAACGTTTGGGAGAAGAAATATAGATATATTGAAAAAATATCGAATTTTCACTTTGGACGTTTCGGAAACGAATCTGCTCCCGTTCTCATTATGATGATGCAAACATATTTTTCTACGATAGTTGTTTTCTTATAGGACGATAACCATGCAAAAGAGAAAAATCAAGAAATCCGCTTGCATTCTTCTGAACGGATACAGTAGCATTGCTTCCTGTTCAGTTGATATAGATAGAACATGGAATTCACCACTGAAAACTGAACATGAAAATGACAGATTCAAGATCAATTAATGAAAACATCCTGTAACTCATTTGTATACTAACATCACTCATTCATATGCCAACATCAGTATGTCACTGGGAAGTGTCAAACCATAAGAACACAACTTTCAAAGAAAAATATGTTTGCATTTTCATGTTAAGAACGGGAGCAGATTCGTTTCCGAAACGTCCAAAGATAAGTAAAAATTCTATATTATTTCAATATGTCAATATTTCACAAAGTGTCACTGACTATCTATTCAATTTTTCTTTAAGGCTCCCTGATACTAAAAATTGTTGAATGCAGTGACATTTCGGGGCAACTCATCTGATTTGTCCTACTACACATATATTGAAATAATACTCATATTTTCATTTAATAGAAACGAGGAGAGAAAATAATCAAGTAAAATCGAATTATTATCATTTTACTTGGAAACATTACAGAAAGTATACAATGTATGAAAATATCAAGTTTGTCAGTAACAAATTCATCATAAAACCATGTGATATTATGTATAGAGTGGAGCTTAATTGAAAAGACAAACATTCCATAGGTAATCAAATTGCATTGTACAACTGATATCATCTAGATTTATTGATTCAATGTGTCTGTAGCCTGATATGCAGATTAAGATCGATGAAATTTTATCATTCAGGAATCTGATTTTCATCATGTTTGCCTAACAAAATTATCCTATATGCTGACAAAAGCAATATTGATGAAAATATTCATGATTCTAGGTAAAATATATATTATATAAAATACTGGGTGCTGGGTGGAGGAAATATTCCTTGACTAAATACACAATAATATCCCTCTTCGTGTAATTTTTACTACACAACTCCATCTGAATAACTCAATATTGAACATTTCACCAGTAAGGTCTATCATGAGTGAATCTGCTAGCATATCCATGATTTCCAATTTTGTGAACTCTACACACTACACAGTGTGTCCCACTTACCATGCTCACCATGGGTATCTTTTTAACGGTGAGAGATACGAGGTCGGTTAAATGACACCAAATGTGGAGTTTGTCAGGGTCAACTATAATGTGAAAAAACATTTTGATAAAATCTATTCGTTTTTGTTTTATACGCAAAAAACAGATTTTGATCATTTTCATGTCTCCTCCGTAACTTCTTTATTCATGAAAATACTCAAATTTCACTTTCTTATGGCAGGTTTTCAAAGTGATTTCGAAAAAAATATAAAATGTATACCAACTCTTCTAGAATTTGAGATATCAGCACCAACTTTAGTTTTTCAAATGTAGGTCATAGCTCACTATGACTTAGTTACAAATTACAAATAACTTTTTTTTCTCTTCCAGATGATATGTCGCAGTAATAGTTTTGTGTTGATAACAACGGAGTTATCGTCATTTATACAGAAACAAAAAATTATTTGGAAGCCGCCATCTTGAATTCATAGATTTTAACAAAAAATCATGATTTCTGACCTCAAAAACCCCCACTTACCAATTTTGAATAGAATCGGACCAAATCTTGTCCGCCATCTTGGAGCAGCCATTTTTTTTTTAATTTAACAAAAAATCCATAATGTATTGTCACCAGAATTATGAACACCATCCAAATTTCAAGTTAATCAGAGTTATGGGATTTTTGTTGAAATTAAAAAATATGGCTGCTCCAAGATGGCGGACAAGATTTGGTCCGATTCCATTCAAAATTGGTAAGTGGGGATTTTTGAGGTCGTAGGTCATGATTTTTCCGTTAAAATCTATGAATTCAAGATGGCGGCTTCCAAATAATTTTTTGTTTCTGTATAAATGACGATAACTCCGTTGTTATCAACACAAAACTATTACTGCGACATATCATTTGTAAGAGAAAAAAAAGTTATTTGTAACTAAGTCATAGTGAACTATGACCTACATTTGAAAAACTGAAGTTGGTGCTGATATCTCAAATTCTAGAAGAGTTGGTATAAATTTCATATTTTTTTCGAAATCACTTTGAAAAACTGCCATGAGGATGTGAAATTCCTATTTGAATATTTTCATAAATAAAGAAGCTACGGAGGAGACATGAAAATGATCAAAATCTGTTTTTTGCGTATAAAACAAAAACGAATAGATTTTATCAAAATATTTCTTCACATTATAGTTGGCCTTGACAAACTCCACATTTGGTGTCATTTAACCGACTTCGTATCTCTCACCGTTTAAAAGATACCCATGGTGAGCATGGTAAGTGGGATACACTGTATAGTATTTCCTAGCAATGGGCGAGTGGACTGATAATGAATTATTGGCATTTTATTACTCCACTGAGTCGTTAGGGACCTAAATTAATTTTGTAACACTTCGCACGCTTTTTTTATGTAAATAATGAGTGTATGCGTTGTTAGATTGTTGAATTCCAGAGCTTATTTCAAACGTACTGTCATGTCCGCCATTTGGCCCTGTTCTGCGAGACGTCGAATAAGATAACAGATAATCTTCCATTCCCACTCATGAAGCAAGGTTGTCAAGTCACCAATTATAATCAAGTTATCAAAAAGATATTAGAGTCCTGTCGTAGAATGAAACACGAGATAACACGTAATAGGAGGAAGTCATGATATTATTATAGTTCATTCTTGACTTTTTGGAGCGACCAGCATGTCCAAATATTTCTTATACTCCATAACAAAATATCATGTAGATGTTGAAGACTTGGCAACAATGTGCTGAATGGTGAGAACTAGATGCGAAGCGATAAGACAACGCCCACAATTCGTACGCCGTGTTGTCACGTTTATCCGTTCAAATGTCCTCTAGTGTGAATAAATACAATAATTATTATTTACAGAAATGTATTATACGCAATAAGCCACGACACACGTGGGAACATTTTGAAAATTGATTTCTTATTGATAATTATTTCTCAAGTTTCCAATAGCCACCTTAAAATCGACCGAAAAATTCTAAAAAAATATGAAATTGACAGGTATTTGAGTGATGATTCTATTTGAGAATGAAAAAAAAATTAGTTCACTCGCTTGTATCGGGCTCGGTTTTTGATCAATGGGCGTGTACACCTTAGTAGAACTTTTAAGTCAAACCATGTTTATAATGTTCCTTTTATACATAAATAATGATTGGCGACATAATTCGATCGAAAAATTAACTGGGAATATTTTATTTTTCGGCATGAATAATAGTACCTTCTGAAAACGGACCCTCTCATGACGTAGAAACCTCATCTCGCCATAGTTAAAAGAAAATACGAAACGTCCGACGGAGACTGAGGCAACTGATATATTAATTCTTTCAACTGTTATCTCGCGCTAATTCACTCTGTCAGAAATCATGTATCATTCATCGTTGTCTGGAATAGTCTTGTTTCAGTATTAGGGTTTTGACGTCACATCATCGCCTCGTTTTCAGAGGTGCGAAAAATCGGGGATTTCAATAATTTTTTATAAAACGTAGGTAAGGGACCTCACAGCAAGAAACGGTTTGCGGTGGTGAGCTAGTTTGGGTGAGTTCTATCAAATTATGAAATAAAATTTTTTTGTGATATAAGCCCATTAGCATTATCTTTACTGACCGTATAGCAAATCATGTCTCTAGGAAAAAGAGGAATAGTATTTTTCTTTATCTCTTGAAGCGCACGAAAGGAAAGTCTTATATTGTTTAACGAGCAAGGATTGGAGGAAATTAGCATTCCGTGCGAGTTATACACCATATTTTGTCTACTGCTGTAGCAGATAATAGCGATTTTCTTTATTTCTTCGGCTTGTAGCCGTCTGATTTCCTCTCAAGCTGTCATTGCTTGAAATTCGACATGTTCTGGGAGATGATATTTATTGTGGAATAATAAAACAATGAATCAGATAAGGGAATGAAATTGAAGAGTACCTACCTCATAAATTTATCAAAAACAGTAAAACAAAAGCAATTTTGTGTTATAGCCGTAGAAAAATGTATTTTTTTGAAAAAGGACACGATGTTTAGGTATTCTGAATGAGAACTGAATGAACTGTTAGCACATATATCATGGCAGTAGATTTACTTGCTTGCGTGACAGGTACCAACAGCATTTGAGCTAAGGGTTTCAAGGATGTAATCATCATTATTCTGAATATTTAATTTCAATTTTGGAATGTTGAGAATGTTGGAACTTTGAAGAAAATGTTGAGTTTTTTGGAGTAGTACTATTTATAACACAGTTTAACTGCATAAAAAACAATGTCCAGATTGCTGTAAATTATTGTGATAAAGGATAACTACCCAACTGTCTTTCTTCTTTCAGAATTTGAATAAAACATATAAAGTAAACGTGCCACTGGTGCTTATGAATTCGTTCAATACAAATGAGGACACCGAAAAAATCATTAGGAAATACAAGAACCTTGACGTAGACATCCACACATTCAACCAGTCTTGCTATCCAAGAGTTAACAGAGATTCCTTGATGCCGATCGCCAAGACTGGAGTAATTGACAGTGATATAGAAGCGTGGTATCCACCCGGCCACGGTGATTTTTACGAGAGTTTTAAAAATACAGGTTTACTGGATAAATTCTTGAAACAAGGAAGAGAATATTGCTTCATATCGAACATCGACAATTTAGGTGCCACCGTGGACTTGAACATCTTGAATTCCTTGTTGAATCCTGATCACAAACACTCAAAACCTGAATTCGTTATGGAAGTTACAGATAAAACCAGGGCTGACGTCAAGGTGAGTACCTAACCTACATATACATTATATATACTATGTTTCATTCAACGATTTTTAAAACCTTTAATAAATGATGATAAATTGATAGTATTCGCGATAGAAAATAACATGTCGCCCCACCTGACGACAGCAACTTGAACACTTCTGAGCGGTTCGTTTTGATGATATGACCAATAAGCACAAACAAAAAACAAATGTGAACCAATAAAAACAAAGTGAACATGCCGCTTTGACAGCTTTCAAGAACTCCGATAGGTGGCGTGTACGCTTATTTTCAATCGCGAATAACATTGAAGAAGTCAAAAAGTACCTACATAAAATACATACCGTTGGCCGATATCTCCACATCCAAATTTGTTCATATTATATGGGTCTACCTCTTTGCCTTTATCAAAAATGGTACAATAGTCTAACTAATCTGCTGTACTACTATATAATTTTCCTAAACAAAACATTTTGATGAAATAGCTAGATTTATTATGAAATGTCTAAAAATTGAAATTTTATATCCTTGGACTGAAATTTTCAATAAAATGCCAGTAAATGGCTAAAAATATCGGTCTTCAAACTACACAGATAGCTATGGTTTAGTCAGATGCGAAGAATGTCGCGGCTGGATGGTGTTAGCGCTCTTATTGCAGAAGTGTCTTAAGACGTTATCTCCGTCCACCGTGCGAAAAACAACAGTTTGTATATCAATAATAAATTTTAGGTCTGACAAAACACGGTCATAGCGATAGATCGCGTTTGATTTCTAAATTACCGATGGAAATTTTATAGGTACATCCACATATCGGAGTGGAAATTATTGGGGTCATAGAAAAAGTCTCTCCTCACAGGAAATTGAGATTATCATATTGCAGTAGCCAGATATTGAATCATCAGTCGCGGTAATATTTTGCTGAACAATTGAAGAATAGTATATAGTTTAACGGCCACGGAATGACAGTCATTTCATGCTGCTAATACGAGTGGGAAATTAGCATTTCGTACTAGTTATACTACTATACTTTTTCTACGATCGACATGAACATATAATAGCGGAATGATTCAACAACAGAAATGACATGAAATTCAAATTTGTCAGAAGAATATTCATTGACATAACAGATACAACTTCTTGTCAAAATTTCGAACGAAGCGATCAAAACGTAGTTATTCTATTTTATGCTAGATTAACAAAATTATCGAAAAGGTTAACTGAAAATCTTTATTGCTACTTATAGTTAAGCATAAACGTTCTCATTTTACAGGGTGGTACTTTAATTCAATATGAGGGAAAACTGAGACTACTGGAAATTGCGCAAGTGCCAAAGGAACACGTAGACGATTTTAAATCTGTTAAAACCTTCAAATTTTTCAATACAAATAATTTGTGGGCCAAATTAGATGGTGAGTACTGTAATAGTTATTTAACCAACTAGTGTATTAATGAGGGCGATTAACGCGATTAATCGCCTTATTAATATACGAGTTGGTTACAAAATGTTTCCGTCGACTTTTATCCTGCGATGAAGAAAACTTAGTTCGCGTATTCATCATTCATTAGGAAACTACTAACAATCGCCCAGTAGCCCTGAAAGTCACGAGGGTCTTGGAGCAGGACAGTTACATCTCCTCTTCATTCTCTCCTGACCTGATGGAGGAGGGATAGTATCATTTCAAATGTAGCTGATAGTGATTCATTGTTTCAATGATATTGATCATTCTAGAACACGTGATTTTGACATGGTTTCTCGAGGGGCACAAAAACTATCTGTTAGGTTACCTTTGATGAGCATAGCCCTGGCCATCCCTGCCACATCCACAATATGATAACAATTTCACCAAACAAAATTATGGAATTCTTTCTGGTTGCAACTCGGATTCCAAGGAAAACGATCTCACTTATCCTGGTTTTATATGACAAATCTTGACAAAATATAATGTTTGCCCCTCAGCAACCTGTCAAATGACGTATTTCTGGATTGATCAATTTTCGTTCAGGATCTATTTGAGAAATTTCAATGTGTAAATAATAATACTACTACATTCATAACCTGTCAGAATGAAGCCAACTACCCTCTACATTCCTACTTCTAGACGCCGATTAAAAACGTACTTGTCACTGACATTAGTGACATTTGAATTTTATCGAAATAATCAATATGGAAAATAAATTCCTTTTGTTAGGAAAATGGATTAAAATCATTTCAGAAACGTTAAGAGGCTAACCCGTTAACCTAAAATCTTCAATGAAATCCATATTTTCGATTTGAATGCAAACAATGAATGGAAGCGGTGTATGTTTGGTTGCCTATACAACAATCGTTCATTAATAGACAAATTAATCATTAATAGGGGTCATTATTAATCAATTTCATAAACATTAAACATACTCGTTAATACGAAGTCGACGGAAATCGTTTTTTCTATATGCTTGTTCATTTTAAAGTCGATCACTTATTATAATTGGCCTAAATATAGAGTAACCCAGAATTAGGCAACAAATTTCAAAAATATATTTACTGTGGTGTTCATGTCATATAGTTCGTGCAATTGTCTCACAATAATATCGGTAAAATTTGTCAGAAATATTGAGCTGTATCAAATTGCTTTGAGGAAACATCAAGCAATTGAATCTCGTTGCTTTCTGACAGAATTACCATCGATAGTATAGCGAGCACTCATGGTATAATATCACAATAATATTGAAAAATTTGTCAGAAATATTGAGCTAGATCAAATTGCTTTGAGGAAACATCAAGCATAGATCAAGCAATTAAATCTCGTTGATTTCTGACAGAATTACCATCGATAGTATTACGAGCACTCATGGTATTACCCCTGGTATTCTCATACTGTCACTCTGTGAATGCAGTAGAGTATAGAGATGAATAATTCACAATTTTCCGCACATTCGATTGTACAGGCCCATTTTCGATGTCCTTACGGGATATCTCACTTATTTTCGAAGATAGAGATTTGCGGTTTTCGCGAACGATGCCTACTTTTTTGTGAAACTCACGATATCGCAAACAAAATTGTCATAACTCGCTTCGTATTTGTGAGTGTAAGTGAGTTATGAAAATTTTGTTTGCGGTATCGTGAGTTTCACAAAAAAGTAGCTAGCGTTCGCGAACACCGCAATTCTCTACCTTTGAAAATAAGTGAGATATCCCGTAAGTACAGTCCCATAAAAAAAAGCGTGCAAGTATATTACAGAGAGAAATTAACGTCATCCTATTCTGCATAAAACGGGCTATCGGGAATGATTGTTCACCAAATGTTGACAGTAAAGTTGTCATAGGTTCTCGAAAACACAAAGCATTGGCTGAGCCAGTTTTACACAACTAGAACTAGGATCCCAAAATCCTCTCTTTTTAATACTTGTACGCTTTTTTATTGAATACGACTGTACATCGAAAATGGGACAGCTTGTACCGTGAGAAATCATCTCAGGAAAATGTAAGTTTTTTTAGTCAGCTGGAAACGATATTTCATCTATTCTATTGTCCCATGAAAAACTCAGCATACAAATTTCCATTGATAAGTTCTCTTATGGTACTCAATGGTGGTAATCTATATTTTCTTTCTCCTATTCAGCAATTGATAGAGTTCTAAAAGAGGATCTCCTTCACATGGAAATCATCATCAACAATAAAACCCTCGAAAAAGGCCAGAACATTATTCAACTGGAAACCGCGGTGGGTGCTGCCATGAAGACATTCGAAGGGTGTATTGGTATCAATGTTCCTCGTAGCCGGTTCTTGCCTGTCAAGAAAACGTCGGATCTCTTCCTCGTCATGAGCAACTTGTACAGTTTGAAGCATGGCTCTCTAAAAATGTCTCCTCAGAGGATGTTCCCCACAACGCCTTTGGTCAAATTGGGCGATAATCATTTCTCGAAAGTGAAAGAATTCTTAGAGAGGTTTGCGAATATACCGGACATTCTTGAGCTGGACCATCTCACGGTTTCTGGGGATGTTACCTTCGGTAGAGGTGTATCTGTGAAGGTAAGTTGGTTTTTTACATTAAAACACTCAACTTGAGCACCGGTTCGACTTGAGTAAATGTGTACAAGAGATTGCATTTTGAGACAAGGCAGTGTAAATGAATTGGCCCTTGGCTTAACCTAACATTGTACCATTCGGACAGGACGAGCTTTTTCAACTATGTATTTGTAAAAATTTTCTGAATTCTGTTGTAATATGTGAACATAGTTCATTCCTCCAGAACAGTGCTCCTATGTAACTAAAAGCTGATGATGAAGCTTTGAATCTTCGAAACATGTCCCGTGATTCCGTAATTTGATTAAAATAAAGTATAGTTTTGGTGGAGTAGACTGTAAGAATTTCGTCCTGTCCTATTGCCTCCACTCCACTGTAAGATGGATCACTTTAGATTATTGTACCATGATGATTCACTTACTGGCAAGTAGTGTATTTTAACGAAGATGACCACACTTGATCAGTGATTTTAGGTATCGCGATTACTCCTGTTACTTACAGAATTCTCCCTCAATAATTACTGAAGGTATAGGGATAGGTACTTCCATAAGCAGTTGAAAACACTTTATATAATCCTGAAAATTTGCCTGGTGGAAGAAAAAAAATTACCTCAGTTTCCAAGATTAGGTCATACAATCATCATTTAAATACTGTCTGTAGGTTAACCGAAGAGGTGAGTTATTCATTTATTTCTTTCAAATTTTTATATTTTTTTTCCGTAAAGATATCAGCGCGATAGACATATTTTTTATAAGTACCAACATTATTTTGGCTCACTCTATCAGCCCTATCATTTACGACATTACCTTTCCAGACACCCTGTCTACATTCAATGAATTCTATGATGATCATTTAAATTTTTGTTTTGTTTTTCATTTTCGAGAAGACCGCTCTCCATTCCGTAAGAAACAACCGTGGCTAACCAATTCCAGTTAACGGAAAATGTAAATCTAAAAAGTGAAAAACGGAATGATTGCACTTTTAACGGTTACGATAACCTCTACCGAGCGCAAGAGTTTTCGATGTTTCAGGACTTCTTCGAACGATATCGCCCGACTTCATTCGGAAGACGAACTGCATATGGGCTTGTTTCACTATACAGGGTGTCCCGAAATTAGCCTGCTAAACTTCACCAGCGGATTTTACGACCAAAAATAGAAAGAAAACTTTCAACGAACATGAGTCAAGAAATGTCTTCTAAGGGAGCTATGGCCCCCTGAAAGGGGGCTCCTGAAGATTATATTTCTTGAGTATTTCCGAAACTTCATGTGAATGAAAAGATGCAATTTTGTACAAGAACTAAACTATAAATGTCCAATGCAGTGTAAATAAAATCATTTCAAAATTTTCAATCAGGAGTGTATAATACAGGGTGGGCTACATTAAATATAGCTAAAAAAATTTTGTTTGCATATTTTCCGACAATTCAATCCCTGATCATAAAATTTCACACCTCATTACAGAAAAAAGGTACTCTTGTTCCGTGAAAAGCAATTTAAAAATATTGTTACATCTCAGATAGTATGCATAACATTGCAATGGGGCGTAGTGGAAATGGAAAAGAATGCACAAAAATTGTTTTTTCCATCATCATTTTCCTATTCTTCGCGCTTTTATGATATTGTTTGGCAAAAAGAAAGTACTTGATTTTTTTAGAACCAACTATGATTCGAAAATGGGCAACGTTATGCATTAGATGTAAGTGCATCAATATTTTTAAATCGATTTCACTCGAAAATGATACATCTGATCGATGCGGAACAAGAGCACCTTTTAACGTGAAACGGTTTGGATTCTCATAATCCGAGATTAAATTGTCAAAAAATATGCATACGAAAAAGTTTGAACAATATTTGATGTGGTCCCACCCTGTATTATACACTCCTGAATGAAATTTCGAAATGATTTCATGTTCACCGCATTGGGCATGGAAAATTTAGTTCTTTTGTAGGAAATTGCAACATTTTATCACTTGGCGTTTCGGAAATTCAAGAAATATCATCTTCAGGAGCCCCCTCTCAGGGGGCCGTAGCACCCTTAGGGGACATTTCTCGACTCATATTCATTGACACTTGTCTCCCTATTTTTGGTCTCAGAAGCCGCTGGTGAAGTTTGGCAGGCTAATTTCAGGACGCCCTGTATAAAGGTTATCCATCTTCAATAACCAGAAAAACACGGATCAACTACTGTTTGGATGGGTCAATTTTTTGACATACTAATGAATATCAATCGACGTGTTTTGAGGGCGGCTAGCCTCAACTCATGAGTAGCCCAACCAGTGCTGCCAATTCAGCCATTTTATTGCTAGTTCTAGCCTTTATTAAACTCATCTAGCTACTAAAAATTGCATCTAGCCATTAAGCCATTTTTTCTAGCTATATTTTATTCTGACTATAAAAAATATTTGCATATTTATAAAATTAACTCCCATATAGATACTTCGTTATATTCACATCAAATTCACACCAACGTTCAGAGCCACACTACTAGAAGGTTTGTTATCGTTCAAAAAATAAATAGTGCGAAACCATCAGAAGCATGCACAGTTCCACGGAACATAAAAAATACCAACAGTTCTGTGAAACGGCGCATGCTCCTGATGGTTTTGGACTGTATAACCTATGTCTTCAGTTAATTTTTGATGTCAGATTCGTAGTCCATGGGCAGATTTCTTGTTTTTGCGAAAAATGGCTAGGATTGCCATAAATTTTTCGCCTGCTTCGCGCTTTCCTTTTTAGTAATATTTTAGCCTATTTTCAGCGATCATCTAGCCGATTTTGAAATTGGCTGTTGGCAACACTGAGCCCAACCAGTATAGTATCTTAGTCTTGAGTTTCTCGATCTCTCAAACTACATTGTTTTATTTCAGGGTACTGTAATCATCATAGCAAATCATGGAGATAGAATAGATATTCCGGCAGGTGCCATACTAGAGAACAAAATTGTTTCTGGTAATATGCGTATATTAGATCACTGAAACGACATTCATTTATTACTGGCTGATATTTTTCGTTTGATTTAGAATGATGAGAATTTTCAAATGTTTATGTACATATTAAAAATATTATTCTAGTTAAAAAATATATATATATTTTGTTTTGTTTACTATCACTTGTCTTATTCTGATGAAAAATGCTAGAATGAATATTATACCGTGCTTTCACGTTTGCTGCCTACATAGGACATAACTCGTGCGATATCACCTCCTATGTAGCTGCTAGCCCCGAGTACGACCGAATATATACTTTGACTAGGTGGTGTTTTCCAATGAAAGCATTGTTATGTATATATTTTTAAACCTATTATCATCATAGTCCGTCAATTATCCATGTTATCAAATACATCTCATATTACCCAATACACTATGATGAAAATATCTCTTCTTCCACAAAACTCCACGCTAATTCGACTTGAATCTATATTCACAAAATAAATGGTAGCTCGGCCATTTTTGAGTATTCTAAGAATCCTAACAACCTACAAACAAAAAAATGTATTTACAACTATCAAAAGTCATTCTTCAACAGTAATGACATACCTACATTATTTGTGATGAATCGACATCTCATCATCCTGTCAAATGCAAATAGGTTGGTATTCGTTCTACTGAAGCACAGCACAATACTAGACTGTTTTTGAAATACACGCAAATTCAAAATACCTTATTATGGTTCTCATAGTCTTCATCTCCATTCTACAAATACACGGAACACTATTTTCCCAACTTTTTTGAGACTGTGAGATGGTTATTATTTTTTCAACATATGCGCATGTTCACCATCTAATCAAAGTGAAATCACTCGTAAGAATTGGTGTTTCTAAAATACTCAATTTATATTGATAACCTAGCTATAAATAACCACCCTAGCTTCTCAGATAACTAGCCGTTCGATATCTGAGGTAAGCAGTGTCGAGCGCCGTTAGTACTTGGATGGGTGATCATTCGAGAAAAAGCCGCGTAAGCCCGCACATTTGTAGCGAAATAGCATATCATAGCTACAACTACCATATCAATGAGCACAAGATATGGTACGGATATGCCGTCCTTCAGAGGGGACGTTAAGCCGGCGGTCCCGAGGCCATGGATGTTGGACTCGTTGAAGATCTCTACCTCTGGTTGGAACACCAGAGGATTCGGCAAAATTTCCGGTTGGGGATAGTGTGCTCACCGGCGTCGGTAATTAGCCTCAGTAGCAGAAAGAGGCCGACGTTGAAGAAAAACAAGCAAGCAAGCAATCCTCACGTCATTCTTTTGACGTATTTCTAGCCCTACCAACAGGTATGTGCAAGTCGTGATTCTTTCGTACATCATTATTTTTGACGTAGATACATATCTTTGGTAGAAGTCCATATTGCTCAAAGTGGAGTGAAATATTTCACAGGAAGGAACGAGATGACTTCGAGCATTCTTTCCTTCCTGTGGTAGATACATATGTTCTCAAATGAATAATCTACAATAATATGATTAATTTCACATACTGAAATATGTCATATAATACCTGATAAGATTGACTGATGCGCTCGCACGATTTTTTTTCTATTGATTAAAATTAGATCCAACATTTTTAAACATATTTTCACAAAGAAAATTATTGAACTAAACCTTCGGCTCGTACTGCAACTTTAATCTTCGTGGGTTATACAGGTAATACGTATAGGTATTAATCATTATGCGCTCGTTGAATTTAATATACTATTGTATGGCTTACTTAATACTCGTTTATTATTGTTGCTTACAGGCATTGAGGCGACCGAATATGTTATAGTTCGATCTCCATAAGTGGAAAGAAGAAATTCTATAAAATATTTCAACGGTCTACGATGCTACGATCATTTATAGAGACCCTCTCAACTTCGAGTGAACGTTCAACACAAACACCATTCATCGAATGAAGACATATATATGTAGTTCCAGACGACTTTTCTCCATTACCTGATCGAGAGTGAATCCGTCATTTAGGCATCGATCTTAGAGTTGGATAGTCAAAACGCAGCAACCACGATGCAAATCCATTCTGTGGAGGACATTTTCAACAAGTACGCTTCAATATTCGAGCAGAAGGTTGGCTGCATTCCTGGTATCCAATGTTCTCTTCATCTCCGACGAGCAAAGCCAGTTTATACGGGAACGTGACGAACCATACGCATACGCGAGAAGAGGTCGAAAAAAAGCTTGATTTTCTTGAGGTTTATGGCATAATTTCTAAATCAACTATAGCGATTGGGGCTGACCCTTGGTATGTGTACCTAAGCCAGGTTACAAAGTAGGTCTGTGCGTCAATTACAAGGTTGGAGTTAATCCACAACTATACAGTCTGCACATTACCCTATCAGAAGGATCGACGATATTCACAACAGTCTTCAAAATTCTTCGTGCTTTTGTCGGCTAGATCTCTTCAAGACATAACTTCACGTAAAATGCATCAAGACAGCGCTAAAATTCAAACCATATCTACACACAGGGGCACCTAAATCATGAACCGCCTATCCTTCGGAATCGAGACGGCACCGAGTGAATTCAACAGGATTCACGATCAAATTCTCCAGGGGCTGGAAGGAACTCTTTCATATTTTGATGATATCATCATCTTCGAAAGCTTGGTAAATGTGTTTCGCAGTTGTAGAAGTATGATCTGCATCTGAATAACGGTAAGTGCGAGTTCTTCAAAACAGAAATCCAGTATCTTGGTCATACCAGACAATGGTCATACAAACTGACAAAATAAAATTTTGAAGTGCTAAAGCATGATCAAGGCAATCTTGGAGATGGCCAGACCTACAAATGCTGATGAAGTCAGGAAATTTTTAGGCATTGTTTTTAGGCTATTATTGTGTATTGCGGGAGTCGTTTCACATCTAGTTGATGGAGAGGAGAGACCCGTTGCTTTCGTATTTCTCAATTCTACTGAGCAGAACTACAGTCAGCTTGACAGAGAAGATCTGGCGATTTTTTTTCAGTCAGTCATTTCTACATGTACCTGTATGGCCATAATTTTCAACTCATCACAGATAATCAATCACACATCCGAATGTTTCATCATTTAAACAAACTTCCAGCTATGATATCTGCTCGTTTGCTTCGTTCTTGTCAGACTTCGACTACGAAACAAAGTTCATAAAAGGTTCATATAACACCTAAGTCGATCGTTTATCCAGAGCACCACTCAAATCGAATCTCCGAACAATCGATACCCCAATAAATCAAGAAGTGCAAGAGATAAATTCGTATTCAATATATCAGATATCGTCGGAGGAAGTCACAGCAGAGACCATTGCTCAAGAAACTGATGAAGATGAGGAACTCTCAAAAATCAAGAATGGTCTTACTGGTGGTGCGGCTGAGGATCTTCGATACACACCCGACAATGGTGTTCTCATCAGAGGTCACGAGGTTGTGATTTTACGTTCACTCCAGCATTCTATCTTGAAGGAATTCCACAGCACTCATATAGGGATCACCAAAATGAAGCAGTTGGCCCTCCGTGAAACATGTGCTATTCTCAACTCAAGTACGCCCAAAGCACCGCTCCATCCGTGGGAGGAACCGCTATAGAACTGGGATCGTGTTCACATGAACTATGCAAGGCCATATGAAAACAAACATCTCTTGATCATTGTAGATGCCAAATCAAAATGGGTTGAAGTCAGAATTTCTAAGACCATCGATTTACTTGAGAATGTATTTGCCATACAGAGTGTTGGTATCTGATAATGCCGCGGTTTCTACCAGTGGCAATTTCAAAAAATGGTGCATGGTGAATGGAATCTTCCAAGGTCCTTCAGCAACAAACAACCTCGCAGAGCGCAATGTGCGAACCATTAAAAACTGTTTGAAGGCCATGCAAAGATACACATTTAACGCTCTATAAAAAATTACAGAAGATCATGTATCAGTATAGAGCAACTCCACTTGCCGCAGGAAAAACTCATGCTGAACTCTACCTGAAACGAACTTGTAATGGAAATCTTATCGTTTGTGAAGTTTTTACATTTGCCATGGATTTCCATCAAGTAACGGCCGAGTCAATTCAAAAAATGAAACGAACTTTCCGAATTCGATTAGATACCATCAACTCATTTTATGAACCAGATCATCCACTTCCAGTTCCAGGTATCCGATAATTCAATGCTGGAGGTCGCGTTCTGTCTTGATTCTATAGTGATAATCACCCGGCATGGTGTTTTGGTGTGGTGATGGAAAAGTTTGGCTACCTGCACTATCTTGTGAAACTCGACGGAAAATGGATTCCTTTGCCTCTGACACAAGCCAACTGAGGAAGATTCCGAAGATCCCCAGGAGAATCCAGTATATCTTAATACCTCCGGAAGCTATGGTTCAAACACCAGGAGATAATCCCATTGACCCGCTTCCCGAAGAGCAACAAGATCCACCAAGGCGATCTGAACATGACCATCGATTACCTACCAGGTCACCGAATAATCAGAGAAGATTGTAGATTTCAGATTGTGATTGAGTTTTAAAAGTTTTGTTAAGTATTTTGAGCTCAATTTTCAGTCCTCATGACTATCCTATCTTTCCAATAGCTGGGGAGAATTGTTATAACTTACATATCAGAAACATCTGTTATATTTGTCAGATATACTTGGAGTTGACAAACAGTAAAATAAATGCTAAAAGTACAAGAGTATTTTATTCAATATCTTAAAAATCAGTAGAAAAAGTATCAGTTTCTGGTATGGAAAAACCAAGTGAACTCTGCAATAGCTTTGAAAACCACCCCAATTCTGAAGTGAAAAACCTCATTAAATTTTTTTCTGAAAATCGATTTCAACTATCATGAGCTGGACTTTTGTCTTTTGAAATTAAGAGTCGAATGTGAAGATATCTAAGATGGAATTTGTTTTTTTTTTCTCTTCATTATCAATAAGTGGAGAAAAATATAGGATTTTTGTTTTTCTCTGACTGCAATGACTCTTTAAATTACCCCATGGCTAAAAAAGTCTACTATGCTCCTGAGAGGCAATAATTTTTACATATGATCAAATAATATTCAGTGTTTTAATCAAAATTATTCACCCAACTGGATATCTAATCTGTTTCTTTCTAAAAACTAAAAAATGCCAAAACAGCAGCATGAAAGTTCGTTTTTATTTTGACAATTCAATATATGTATATAAAATCCCATGATCCCCTATGATTTAGTCATTATGACAGGAAAAAAGTTTGTCCCAACTTTTTCCATGACAAAAATGAAAACTTACCAATTGAAAGCATGACAACCAAAATTGTAAACAAATATTTGATGGTGTTTATGTCACTTTTTCTCAAAGTTGCTTTGTCAGAAAAGTATTTGATCTGTGGAAATTTTAGTCTTCCAGTGGAGGAATTGGAAAAAGATCAATAAAAATGTAATTCACCTATTCATGAAATCATCTTATGGAATTACACTGACTTGAAATTTATAAAAATTTTTGCCTTTTGGAATTTAAATTTCCATGTGAATAAAACAAACTAAATTTGAACCTAACAATCTCCCTCTCTGTCACCCCTGCACCACAAATTACCCCCCTCCCCTTGGAACAAAGCTGTATAGGTGCCTGGCAAAAAGGCCCAGTGTAGCCTGATAAGTGATAACTGATGTGTAACTGCCCCCCACTCCTACCAGTCTTATCCCCAATTAGATTAATATAAAAGAGTAAAATTAAAATTGATGTTTTATGAAATATTCCTTAGCAAGTTAATTTGAGTATGAGCACCATTTTGATTAAAGTAGTTTCAGTACCCTTCATGAGTACCTAATATATAATTTATCTAATCATTTGTAATCTCATTTCTTTCAATAAGAAACAGCCTATCTCTGTCAGCACAGCTTCTTTCAAGGAGGCATTTGTTAAAACAAGGGTCAGAAGTTTCAGACAATCTTCAGGTTTGATTTTGGATATCAGATTCTGAACACTGTCTACAAGTTTCCTTTTTTGTTCAGGAGTTAAATCATTTCTTAGTACATCTACTACAGATCTGTATGAGTATCTGGACCTCCAAGCAGTAGTTACAGATGCAATGGTTCCTCCTGAAACAACATTCAATTTGTGAAGGAATTACATAATTATGTTGATATAAAATATCAACAACGCCTACCTACGGCTAATCCTACTGGTCCAGCTAATAATGCTCCTGCAAATGCTCCAAAACCAACGCAGAATGCACCTTTGGTTGCTTCTTTGATTGAAACTTTCAAGTTCTCATGTTCAGCTAACATTTCACACAATTCCATGATTTCTTTGTTCTGGAACATGATGGATATGTTGTTAAAAGGCCTTCCTTTTTCCCCTTTTCCAAAAAATTTACAAAAAACAAATATTTACAATTTTAGGCCCTTTCTTTTGTACGAAAAGTGTAGCACATTCGTACACTTACACTTCTTGTGATTTACACCGCATTTGAGCATTCTTTTGAGGAGTGCATTCGACATCAGTGTAGTTATATCCACGATATCCGCGGGACCAATGACGGATAAATATCTAGACTGTCTGATGGTTTATAATTATAACTCGTCAGGACAATCTAAATTTTTAGCCGTCATTGGCGGTACATGCTTTCGAGTCACTGACATACATTCTATTATATCTAGAGTCCCTGTATATACTTTAGACAAGAGTCCGGACACAGCTAACAGCTATACTTCTGCCTTTTTCTGTTTTCAAAAAATGCATTGATGATTGAATAAAGGAATAAGACTTATATATCGAGCTCTGTCTCTTCAATTCCCCTAGTATCAATGATTGTCAGAAACAATTTTGAGGGTTAGATTATTTGTCCACTTGTAGTCATATCTCAGCACACTTCAATCATAGGCCTCTCAATCGCTGTGACTTGATGCAAATAGGTAGGCATGTTCATAAAGTTTTGGAAAATGAATAAAAAATGGTGCTAAGAATACTGAACTACTTATTCACAGGAAATTTAGGCACATCGCACATGATAGTCAGAATACCAGAATAGTCCGCCTGTTATTTTTCCTTTTAGATGAGGGCCCATAGCACAGTTTAATCATCTATTGTAAGAGGTATCTACTGTGCCCATAGTAACATCATCATGGACAGCAAATACCACAAAGTTATTGTTGTTATGCTTCTACCGAGAATATTTACCCATCAGTGTGGTAAAAATAATTTTAATTAAAAACAAGAATGTTATGTGGACAGTAATTACCTCAAAGATCTCGCAAAAATGAATTTCTGTATGCAATTTTCACGTTTTGTTTTCACAGTTCCATGATTGTAAACAAATGATCTACACGATCTCCACTTTCCCGTTCCTCTAAAATCCCAACACTCATCTACACTATCAAATCAACTGGATTTTAGTGGTGGTGTAAATGACACTACACTGAAAGCAGAGGAACAAAACTATCGGGTAAACAAGATTGACATTTAGAATGTCAAACCTCAAACCTTTCATTTTACCTTCTGATTCAAATTTGTTACTTTTTTCAAAACAAATTTTGTATAAAACAAATTGGCCCAGGAACAACAACAACATTAAAACTTTAAAACACTACTCAAGAGTTTTCCATAATTAAGCATTTTCAGATTTTCTGGATTTTCGGAATATCATATATTTTCTGAATAATCATCTATATGAAATGTTGAGAGAAATTGTTAGTGGTACTCACCTTGGAGCTCACATAAATAAGAATGTGAGCATTACTGGATTTGTTATGGAAATATCTCCAAATGGCCTATGGTTCGAGATGAAGACAACCGACAACCAAGTTGTAAGAATTTCCTTGCAGAGGCCTATTGATAATCCAATAGAAGGATATGTAGAGGTAAAAAAACAGTGACTTGCAGAAATGGTTGCTTTTTTGGGTAATTCTTGAATGAAAATAGTTTCTGCAGCATTCATACAGTTGTGCTAATCATCCTATTATCACAGCACCCTCAGCTCTATTACTTTGCACCTAAGAGATTTGCATCCTAGCCTAGAGGCCTAAGGGTGGTTTGAATTTCAAACATATAAGCTGTAGATTATTTTTCACTCCATTTTAGTGTTGCTTTAGGAGTAGTCATAATCAAATACAGTCAAATACTATGAAATCTTTTTTTTTTTCAACACATTCAGCACTCATCAAGTTTGTCCTTTTTTGGGCATGAATTAGATGAATTGAAACAAGTTGCAAGTTTCATTTATATCCAGTATCATACCATTTTCAAATTAAGCAACATTTCAGGTCCATGGAAAATCTACAGGAAAAGGTATCACAGCAGATGATTACATCACATTTAGTAATGAAAGTTTTGATGCCAAAGCCTACAATTCCATGTGCACTCTCTTGAACAGTGTACCTAACTTATGGCATACATCATAATCTCAGGAGATCAGGATTTCATATTGATGTCTCATCCCTTTCTTTTAGTGTATCTTCATTTCCACATAGTAATATAATATGAGAAAAATTTGTATCATATATATGTCTGCTAATTTTGAAAATTCAATTCATGATAATAATTGTAAGTTTGATTTTTTACTCATACAGTGTTGAGTAAACAGTTGCATTTATATCCCTGAATTCTTTATAATTTTTTCAATCATGGTGGTTACAGGGTTATAAGTTCCAATACCAAATTTGTTGGCTTACATTCTCTGTATCTCTGTTTTTCTGAACCATAAAATAACTTTTCAACCACTATAGTAGTTTAAATGTAACAAGTGTGAAAAATTCACTTCATGCACACCTGTTAGGTACACTATTTTTTTCTACTAGCATGTGGAAAAAAAACAACAGTTGACATAAAGAAACATTTATTATTAAATATCCAAATGACAGTATATATAGGTACTCCCCAAAAACTCAACAAACAAACTTTTGCAACACTAAAATGAGTGCAGAAAAGTGGACGTTTCCGATATTGAGCCCTCACACCCATTGATCATATGGAAATAACTTCCAATGCAATAAATATCTTCATAATCATTTGAAATAACCCAATCAAATGTGTCACTCAGTATTTATAATATATAAATATCAAATTTCCATAAATGCTCCAAAATCACTAAAACATTGAATTTTATTAGAGTGGGCTCTATGGATTTTGCTTATAAAAAGTTCCAATTGAAGGAATATTTCTTTTGATTTTTGCACATTCGGAGGCTCATATCATATTATAGGTACTGTTAGTTAATTAGCGTTGGTATTGTTTTTGTCCTCTTCTTGGAAAATCAAAAGAAAAGTACGTCCCTTCAATTGGAACTTTTTTTATATGAAAAATCCATAGCCCACTATTGAAATTCAAAAGTCCTGTTCGTTTGTGATGGTTTGTGCTTTCTCTACCTACTGAACTCAACTTTTACCAATTACTTTCTCTTTGTTTACATCATGCCATGAACAGAGACATACTATGGACAAAAAAATCAATCAACTTTAGCGCAGGTTTTGCAATACAATGGAAGAGAGGCCTAATGTTTTAGTGATTCGAGCATTTTTCAAAATTTTACCTCCATACAGTTTGAAGCAAAAAAAAGGATTTTAATAGGCTAATGAAATACAGGGTTTTTCTTTCAAATTATAATAATTGATAAATAAATTTGAGTCATGCCAAAACCATAATACGAAAAAAAAAAATCAGTGCGCCACTGGATTCTGCACATAATTCCCCATGGAATATGGTTTTAATTTGACATTATCACAAAGAAAAAAGTATAAATTTTCAAAATCGCCCTGTATCTCATAAACGGAAACAGTTTGTTATGCAGAATCTGATTATGTGGCACAGGACCGCGAAAACCGCAAGGTTATATCTCCAAAGATAACTGAGATATCACGCAGAAGCATCGAAAACTGGACACACTGTGTAGGCGCGGTTTCAGATTCAAATGTATACATAATAATATATTACCTGCTGGAAAGCAATTTGCTTGATTTTAGCAAAATTTTCATCTACATAGTGAGTCATCTCTGAGCCACACTATTCAAACACATCAAATCCTGCAAGACTCTTGATGGAGCTCTAAATGTACTAGAAGGTATCTACATATACAGGGGCGGCGAGTTTTGTTTTGCCCAATGGGTGCCAAAATGGAGGGGTTAGGGCAAGCCAAAATAAAATGCGCCGCAGGCGAAAATTTTTTATGGCTCAAGGTCAAATGCCTTCAAATTTGAAGATAGCTTGATGCAATATTGATTCTGCATTACGTGTGAAACACCCCTACTAGAATATAATGTTTTTTGACTAATCGGGTTTCGGGTCTGTTGTTAATATCAACATAAACAAAGGTACATCTTCGTTTCGGCCAATGGGTGCATTGCACCCATACCTATGGTCTACATGGGTGCATTGGCCCCGATGCCCCCATGCACTCGCCGCCCCTGTACATATATAAAACCAAAAACCACAATACTGGCTCCTTACGTGTTGTCGAATCGGAAACAACGTTCAGATGAATCCATTTCCGACTACGCGAGAGCCTCAGCGAGAGCATTGCGCCTATCGGCACAAGACTTTCGCCAAAGAATAGTTCTTTGCTTTCGCCCTTTCGCTTCATGGCGATTACCGCTGAAGAACATGAGGACCAAGCAATCCGTAGTGCCCTGATTTCAGGCCTTCAATCGAAGAAAATAAGAGACCGTCTCCTGGAGAACTCACAACTTACTCTAGACGAAACACTTAACCAAGCTATAGCTCTTGAAACAGCTGAAAAAGATTCCCGTGGAATGAGCAGCAGCTGCCCGCTACTCAATGCCGTACCTGATCGTTCATCGAAGGATGTGCCGATGTCAGTGGATTTAGTTGCGACTTCCCCACAAACGACACGGAACGCACCCTTGTCGTCACAGTCGACAAGAAGATGCTTCTTTTGCGGTGGAAAAGGTCATCAAAGAATCAAATGTCCTGCCAAGAATGCTATTTGTCAATTGTGTTCGACGAAAGGTCACTTTGCGAGTGTATGCAGATCTGGTAATGCTACCAGCAATGCTAAATCTGACGAGAATACGACAGGTATTTACTCTCATGCCACTGGACAGTCATGTGCTGGCGCCATTTCCGCAGCCTCGCCATCGAGCCTCAGGAGTGCGACTATTCCAATCAGTGTGAACGAATATAAAGTTGACGCACTCATAGACACCGGCACCTCTGTCAGCTCCATTGAAAAAAGGTTGTTCGTCTGATAAAGCTACAACAAAAACCCTGTAGACAAACTGTGAATCTTGCATCCCTCAATCATGTCTCTTTTGTTGAAGGGTTATGCTTTGCAACAATCACTATGAATCAGCATACGTATAAACAACGCCTTCTTCTCATCGTAGATGATCTTTGTGCTGATGTTATCGTGGGTCATGCTGACGCGTTATCTCGAGTTTGCAGCTACATGAATACGAACAAGCTTAGTGAACTTCACAATGCACTTTGTCATCCGGGCGTCACCAGGATGTTTCACTGGATACAGTGGATACTCAGCTCACGACCACGATGTTACATCGTGCTCACGACGTTAAGGAAATGACGGCTTCATGTCGAATATGCACGGTTCATGAAAATCAAGGGTCACTTGATAAAAGCCACTTAGCCTTTCGAACGAATAATAGTTATTTATTATACAAGGGAAAAAAGTAGTAGATTTTAGCTCCAGGTTGTGTTGTCTCCCGACTCGTAGCGGAGGGAGACAAAAAACCGTGAGCTAAAATCTAATATTTTTCCCGTGTATAATACACTATTTTTTTCTGTGACAGAAGGAAGGACGAATCAATATTGAGAAGATATTACATTATTTTGAAATCTGAAAATTATAGACGTGAAATTTCAAGTTTTTAACAGTAGGGACACCTGCGTTTTATAGGCATCTTTATCATTCTTTTGAAGTAATTAAATATCTGATGTCACTTCTGTCAGTTCAATTCTGTGATTTGATTTTAAAAAATTGCGAATTCAGTAGTTGTTTAGTAATATACGAAACCGCGAAGTCGAATGGAAGATAAATGGACTTGCAGTTCTTTCTCGGAGACGGTATTATTGACTCATTTTTTGGAACTATAGCACAACAAAAGCCATTAACAGAGTATATATATGTGATATATATCCGGGAAAAAAGTACTCACTTTTTTCCCACGGGAAAAAAGTAATTCTTGAAAAGTGACATTTTATAACCTGCCAACAGAGATGAAATGCCAAACTTTTTTCCCGTCACAGAAAAAATATAGATTTCAAAGGACCCCTACCATCCAATACAGGGAAGAGATTTATATAAACAATTATTGATGAGTACTCCAGGTTCCCGTTTGCGTACGCCTGTAAGGATATGACTTCGACCACCGTCATAAACTGCCTGAAAGATCTTTTTCTCACTTTTGGACAACCGTTATATATACACAGTGATAGAGGTTCTTCCTTCATGTCTGAAGAGTTCAAAACCTTCTTGAAGAACTCGAACATAGCTTCTTCTAGGACGACTCCCTACAAACCACAATAAGGAAATGGACACGTGGAACGTCTTAACGGAACTCTCTGGCGTACCATCAGTGGCGGATCTACGATTTCTGGGGCCCTAAGCTTGATAATTCTTGGGGCCCTTGTGGCCCCTACCCATCTTTTTTTCTCCTCCTGTTATTTCTTCTCACCAATTTTCCCATCTAACATTTTCTGACCAAATAGAAGCGAAAAATGCATGATGAAAATATATAGGATATAAGGAACAAAAAAAAGTGCATTCATTGATATGGTTTAGGATATAATAACAAATAAAAAAAATCAGAGCCACATGAAATAAAATGAACGTAACTATAACACTGACTAGGATCAGATACGTTCAAAATAAAAGAACTAAACCATAACGAAATCACTAGGAGAAACATACTACGATATCACTTCCAATTTTCTGATTCACGAATCTGCGAACACTTTCATTGCACCATCATAAATCGAACTGCTCATCAAATCACTTCAGATGGAAAGCATTCCCAAAGTTTGTTATGTTCTCTTCGGAATTAGGTACACAATTTGATTTGATTATTGATAATTTTGAAAATAAACGCTCTCCTCCGCAATTGGTCACTGATGGCAGTGTTGAAAACAAGTTCAATTTAGTATTTTTGCATTGAAAAACACGTACGTCCATCATTCCTTCAGTATATAGGGTCCCTCCGACTTCATAGGAACATTATTAGTATTGCCTCAACGGTATACGTTTTGCAGATGAAAAAAAATTGCCGTTCCTGAAAAATTGGAATAAAAAAACAGAAAATCATTTTGTTTTTACTGTTGATATTTTATCTGAATCGAAACGGCACATGTTTTTTTTCAGTTTGCAAAATGCCATATCGAGGAAGTTATTGAACTTTTGTCGGATTTAAGCAACTTTCTTTCCCTTAACCGGCCCACTGTCTCTATGAGATCGGCAGGACCCTGCTTATGGTTTTCAACATTTTTGGAATGTTGCCGCTGCTTCTAGGTATATAAAATAAATACCCATTGCTCGAAAGAGAAATTCATTTCAATCATTATTTCATCTATACAAACGAATGATATGGGAAAATAGTCATGCAATGCCAGGGCCCCTCAGGGGCCCCTGCAAGGGTCAGGGCCCTAAGCTTGAGCATACTAAGCGTACCGGTAAATCCGCCACTGCGTACCATACAACTTAGTCTCCGATCCAAGAATCTGCCTATAGAAAACTGGGATGTAGTAATGAAGGATGCGCTGCACTGTGTACGCTCATTTTTGTGCACCTCGACTAATACTACACTACACGAGCGGCTTTTCACTTATGCACGGAGATCCCCTAACGGAGACTCATTACCTACCTGGTTGACACCGGGACCTGTACTGATGAAAAAGAACGTTCGCCATTCGAAGTCAGAGCCAATAGTCGAGGAAGTAGAACTCGAAAGCAATCCCCAATATTCTTTCATCAGACGAAACGATGGCGAAACAGTGACGGTGTCTAATAGACGATTGGCACCACTGAACAACTCAGTTTGCCAGGTTCTTCAATTTTGTCACAGGAGGAATCTGATGAGGCACCGGCAGAGTTATAAGAACCTCGGAGGTCTCACAGGAACAGAAGGCCCCCTCTGCTTATCTCCAGAATTTCGAAGTGGACAATGAAAACTCTAGAGGGGAAGAATTATATGAATCTCCCCATATTTGGTTTGTCTATGAATCTCCCTGTACTGATGTCTTGTTTGATTTTACTCAGTTGTCAATGTCAACGTCTTGAATATGATAATGTCTAGTTTTTTAGAGTTTTTGAGTTATAGCCAAGTTCTTCGTTGGTAATTCGTTCATTACGTATCAATTACCCATCAAAATAAGAATCTAGGTCCGTTTTCAGAAAAAAAATCATTTGATTTCAAAATTCAAAAATACCACTAGCGGAATTTTTTAGATTTAGTTATATATGAATCTGAAAAAGAGCGGAAAATGTGAACAAAAAACCTTTTTACGGTTAGACATTTTCGAGTGTCATTTGTCGAATGCGTCAATGTGCTGTTACGCCATGCCACGCATTGGAACTCGTGGACGGATCTTTCGGCAAAACGAATTCGTGCGTGCTATTGTATTGTAGTGGAATGGTGGAATGAATAGGGTTGGAATAGGGTCCCTTGATGACAAATACGTCAGTTTACAACATTAATTATAAACATTTTGATTCGTCCCTTTGTATTCGATAAATGTCTCTTGCATAAGTAGTTCAATTAGTATCGTGCTGCTTGTGACAAACAGCCAACACACGATATTTCTTCTTTCTTCAAAGTTATAGAAGAAATAGAACCCTAGAGTAGCTCGATAGCTCAGTGGTATGTGTATCGGACTTCCACGGCGACAGGACAAGTTCGCTTGAAAGAAGTTGCATTTTTTATGCAGAAACGATATTTTATTTTTCACACTTATAACCATCATACGTTATTATGAAAACCTACTTTTCTTTGTTAATACTTTCTTCCTCAAGTTATAGAAAATCACTGACACAGGATTGAGCGGCGTTCACAACCAACATTTTACTTTCTTCCTCAAGTCTCAAGTTATAAGGCGTTTTCGGAAACCTACTCGGGTTGACTCGATCCCTAACCTGCACGTTCGTTTACCTAACCCGAGTAACATACCCATGTTCGGAAACTTCGGTGTTACTTACTCGATCACTAATTCGGGTTCATGTTTCGCAACCCTGCTCCAAAGCAGGGTCAGCCAGAGTTACTTCCTTAGATCATACACTTACTACCACAGAACTACTCACGATTCATTTATTTCCAAGGTCACTTCAGATATCATTTGATTTCATCAATTGAACAAGAAGTGAATTATGTTGAATAGCATTAGTTTGATGATGAAAATTCACCAACATCATGAGCAGAAGCAATATTCATCATTTCTAGAACAATAACAACGTGTATATCTTTTAAGAGTTTAGTGGTATGTTTTTAAATATATGGAGAAATCAATCCGAAAATATTGATATCGTATAGCAAACTGAAAAAATTGCATACAGCTGTAAGAAATCGAGAAGTTCTATTCGAAGAGGTATAAAGCTGACTCAATAAAATAGTAACCTGATAAGTTCGTAAACCATAGTATTAGGATAAGTGATCCGACTGATCCATCACGTGACCCGTTCAGATCGAGTCAACAACCCAGAGTAAGTTTCCGAAAACGCCTATAGAAAATCACTGACACGCGAAGTCCCCACCACTATTCCATTCTATGACGCAGACTCCGCAGACGCGAGCAAAAAGCTTGGGCAATGACGGCTAGATATCTAGCCGTCATTGTTGCTGCGAAATGACTACTGGCACGGTGCATGTCAAACTGTCAAAGAATTTCTGATTTGAAGGAATAAAGGGATTATGTTTTGATTTTAGTCATAATAATTTAATTTTGACTATTGTACTGTATTCTAACTTTTTGTACTGTAGTCTATTATAATTATTGAATATTGATACCATTTTTAGTGGTAATTGTGGTACCTAAATACCATAGGTCTGATAATGTACTCTGGTCTCTGGCACCAATGCCATTCCATAAGGAAAATTTAAAATCATTTGATATAAAGTTGTAATTAATGAATTTCAACAATGATTTATTTACTTATTACACCTGGATAAAACTGGTACTCAATTGATATTCTCGTCATGAATGGACTAGAAATTGACTTGATTCAAGTTCACAATGGAGAGCTTGATCGTCGCCCCAAAATAACCTGTGAGTTTGAACAACATTTGAATCCTCCCAAATGATTCAATATTTTGTTTTAGGTGCAGGAGAGTTGGAAGTATTTTCCACTCTTGAAGACAATCTTACAGAAGCTCTTCCACAAGAAAACTGTGAATGGAGGCGAACATTTGGAAGACCAGTTCGATCTGTCCATATAGGAGCTACATTTCTTCCTTATAGTCTGGAAGCTTTGCCCAAAGGCAATCAATGGGACCTTATTAGACAACCACTATTTCATATATACTTCACTGATTGCATGGTTTGTGTTACTAATTCATTTGTTGGGGTAAAACAAAAACAAAACTATTTTTTTTTTCAGGATGTTGATGTTTATAAAGCTTCAGTTAAAGAAGATATAGAAAATTGGCTCAAAGATCTAAATGCTAAAGATATAAATGATTGGCTGATAGTGGTAGTTGAGAGTTTTGATGGAAAACGTTCTAATAAGTTGCTTCCTAGAACAACAGTGTTGGATAAAATTAGAGCAGATTTTGCTGCAAAACAAGGTATTAATCAGAATATCTCCTTGGTGAAGTTGATTTCATGTTATATATTTTTGAAATATTTAGGAGATAGATGTATTTCTGTGATAAATCCTAATAAAACAGAATCAAGGTCTGCTGATTCTTGGAGAGGCTTAGTGAGTAGGATCAGACATCTTTTACTTGTAGCCTATGGTAAAGCTATCTGTAGATTAGAGGAACATGTTCGACAGCAGAGAGAAAAAAGAAATGAACCAGGTTGGAGTTTCCTAAAATATTTTTCTCTACAGGTGGGTTCAATTTTTAGTTATTCTGATGATAATGAAGTCCACCTATCCAATGAAACTTTCATGATGATTCATAAATTACTATTTCCAGGAGGAATTGGCTCAAGTTTTGGAAATGCTGGGATTATATGATGAAGCTCTTGTTCAATATGATGAACTGGATGCTTTGTTTTCTCAATTTGTCACTAATGGTATTACCAATGAGTCAGTCAGCTGGTTGGGTACTTTTCAAAATCCTTTGGAAAGGTGGCATGGTCTGAATCTGAAACAATCAAAATTGCCAGAAAATGCTTCCATTTTGGAACTGAGAGCATATATTTTTGCAAAACAAGCTCATATGCTGTTACTCATCCATAAGGTTTGGGAGGTGAGTAAAAATTCACCAAATATGAGTGAATATTGATATAATTGGAAATATTGCCATATACAATGACATTCAGTCAATTGAAACAACAAATTATTTTTATTTATTTATTTATTTATTTATCAAATATATCTTCCAGTCAGAACAAGTTCTGGTATGAGGAAGAACACAAACATGAGCAGAAGTGAACATGAATAATGAATCATAATAAATCAGGATATCAAAATAAAACAAAACAATTAATGAACAAAAAAAAGCATTCTAGTCAAGGACATAACTTACTGATAAATTTTAAACATTTCTCTCAGAAATGGTCAGTTTTTTTTTAAATGTACCTATATTTCTGCAGTTTTTAATTTCATCTGGTAGTTCATTGAACTCTCAGATAAGGCTGCATGAGTGAATCTTTTTTGTCCTAGTGTAGAACTAGCAGCATCAAGGTGAAATAAGTTATATTGTCTAGTTTGATGACTGAGTTTCAAAATTTCTTGTCAAAATAATATTAGATTTCAATTTTTCATTTATGATATTATATGAAATTTTCAGAGTGTGTAATCTGTGCAGTACTTCTAAAAAATATGTTAGATTTATATTCTCAATTGGTTCCCAGCAGGTATGATTGTTCTGAGGGGGAGGGCATTGCTGCAATAGGTGTACAAAATGTTCTGAAATGAATGGCAATACTTATGGCATTATAGGTGTTATCAGCATTATTTGAAAATAATCTACACTAAATGGCAATAGTGGGCATTGAAGAAGAAATGCAGAAATATACAACATTAAGTTGGAATTATTAGGCAATAGATGTAATATTCTGCAATAGTGGAAAGGGGCATCTATTCTTTATTTCTGTTAATCATTCATTGCAGTGAGTTGCCTATGTGTTGTTTTTATTTACATTTCAAATATGTCATTTTTGAAATACCCCAACTCCCAATACCTTTATTGACATGTCACAACACTCAAATAGTTACTTTGTTTTATCAACCCTTTGATGTATATACTTGAACTTTGCTGTAAGAATAATATCCTGAAAGCTGTGTACTTGAAGCCCTAAAACTAAACTTGACTTTCACTGAGTGTCATTTTCTAAACAGACATGACAGATTTTCATAATTAATTACCACCTGAAACTCTATGGTAATCAAAATATCATAAATGGAATAAACCATCAAAATATCATTAATGGAAGAAACTATCTCAATTGAGCTGTCTACAATGAACAATAATATTCAAACAAAAAAATAACTCTGAACAAACCCAAAAAAAAATACCTACATAAGTGTAAATTCAGCATGAAAATGAAGGGGCCTATGAGAAAAATTGAAAGTAGGTATATACTTGTTCTCCTACTCATCCAAATTCAGATTTACACTGGTATTCTGAGACCATGTCATGATTTTTTTGTATCTCTTGGAGAGCAGGAAAGGAAGTGCCTATAATGTTCCAAGAATATCTTGGGAATACTTCCATTGGCAAAGAATTCTAAAGCAGTGATAATTTAGAGAGCTGACACCACCATGTCCTATGAAGTATAGTATACATACACCAGCTCTGATGACCCTGCCTCAATATAATAAAAAGATGGGCAGTGCAATTATAAAAATATATTTCAAACTAGTATTTGAAGGGAATTCATATATTTGTTTTTCTGAACAAAAAAATGCTACAAAACATTTAGGATAATATGGATATTCAAATTGTGGAATAACAGATATGTCTAAAATTCGCACATGACATTATTTTATTAAAACTATTCAGCTGTAGGTGAGTAATTTTGGAACATTGTCATGAGGTAAATCAAAGCAGCAAGCTGGAGTATGTCAATCGACAAATGTTTGTAGAAGAATAGTTTCAGAAGTTGTATTCCTATTACTATATAGAAATCTGTGTAGTAAAAATTGAATACTAATAATTATAAATGCTAAGTTCATTTTGACCCAAAAAATTGCTGGAGTGTAATTCGGTAAGACAATTTAATGTATGCGTAAATTATTGTTGATATATTTTTCAATTTCTCCACTACAAATTGCGTCATATCCACAGATTATATACTTTTTGACAGGGCAACATTGTGAAAGATTGACATAAACGCCTTGAAAGATTTGTTCACAATTTTGGTTGTCATGGTTTCGAATGTTAGGTTCCATTTTGTCGCGTGAAAGCTTATGGCAAAGTATTTTCCATGTCAAAATGATAAAATCACAGCGGCTTATGGGATATTTCATACATGAGTTAAATTGTCGTTGAAAAACGAGGTTGGATGGTCACGTGTGGGTCATTTCCGCTTCTGTATTGGAAGAGTCAATCCGATACTTTTTATCGAGATTTTTAGTAAACATCCTATTATACCTTTGAAATGGACTTTTCTGACAGCTCTTAAAGCATATGTGAATGTTACTATTTTCTCTTGTGAAACAATTTAGAAGCTGGAAGAACGGGTCCTATGTCAACATTTGAAGTGAGTATCATAAACTGAGGTCAGAATGACAACTGATGCATACATATCATAAACATGACATGTCTTGATCGAGATTTGTCAAGTATCATTCTGCTTCTATCAATTGAGACCACTGACAGAACTACTATCTAGACCGCTATTGGCGGATTTGAAGGTCATACTTTCTTAGGCTGCTTCTGTCAATTGAGACCACTGACAGAACTACTATCTAGACCGTTATTGACGGATTTGAAGGTCATCATCTGACGTTGTGATGACATTTAGCAATAGGGAAAACATTCCTAACCCCTGGCATATATTAAAAGTTGAACATGTTCTATATAATGAGAAAAAAGTCAATATAATGGGAAAAAAGTCAATATAATGGGAAAAAAGTCAATATAATGAGAAAAAGTCTATATATCAGATAAATTATGAACATGAAAAAATTTATATATATAAAGATATACATTGAGAATTCGCATTCTCTATGTGATGAAAATATCAATTCTTTCTCGGTTTATTCAACAGAAAACAACTACTTCGCGATAGAAAATTACACGTTGCCTCGCCTGACGGCAACAACTTGAACACTTCTGAGCGGTTTGTTTCGATGATGTAACCAATGAGCACAAACAAAAAACAAATGTGAACCAATGAAAACAAAGTAAACAGGCCGCTTTGACAGCTTTCAATGATTCCGATAGGTGGCGTACGCTTATTTTCTATCGCGCCACGACGAACATTGAATTATATCTATTGAATACACACGATAAGAATTTGAAAACGAAATCTGCTGAAGTTAAATAAACCGAGAAAGAATTGATACTTTCATCACATAGAGAATGCGAATTCTCAATATATTTCTTTATATAAAGGGTGATTGAAAATTCGATGTAAATATTTTAAGGACTTATTGTTGGAATCAAAATAAGACTTTTTCATCGTATAAACATGTGCCCTGAAATGCACCCCATTTCGGCCAATTAAAAGTAGGGACCCCCTCCAACATACATTGAAAACAAAAAGTCAATGTATTGAGAAAAAAGTCAATATAATGAGAAAAGTCATTATAATGAGAAAAAAGTCATTAAAATGATATAATAAATAGTATATTATGTAATATGTAACAAGTGTTATGAACGTCCTTTTAGTAACGAGTAGTTTAAGCACGAGCGGAGCATAGCGGAGCGAGTGTTTAATAAACGAGTGTCTAGAAGAGTTTATAAACGCGTTACATACTATGATTTTTCTATGAACTCCAGAAATTATATCAATATACCTGCAATTCCTGCTAACCTACAAAATAATTCGAAAGGAATGGGAATTGAGAACATAATACATGCAACTGCATGCAGCCAGCGAGACACGTATAAGTGATATTGGGCGTAGATGTGTCCAGTCCATTGCTTACTAACCTTTGTTTCACGTTCATTGTCATGCTTAGAGCAGAATAAATAAATTGTTCTCAAAGATGGATGCTTCATTTTTACATTTCATGGGAGATATGCAAGTACCATCCATAACATTCTCTTCGATTTCACATTCGTCTACTTTTCGCATATATTTTCAATGAAGAATTCTGATACAAACGAATATTGTTTGAATAATTCTGATACAAAATTTGTAAATAACAGTTGACAGTTAATACAATTGACAGGCGAGACATGTCAGAAATTACTGAAGCTGTCTTTAATGAACTGCGTTGCCATGGTAATGTGTTTAAGAAATCGTGTTGCCATGGTAACGTGTTTAATATTTTGAATAAATCACAGATCGACAATCCGTGATTAATCGATCATTTAGCGTGGTACATAACCGTACGCTAAATGCCCTTTTAGTTATGTGAGTAGAAAATAGTATATTATAGTGACTTTTCAAAAAAGAAAAGTGTGTGTGACACTAGGGTGCTTCCGTAGGACACTGCTAAATGTTTCCACTATTTTTAGTTTTATGCAAAAAAAAAACATATGCGGAGGTTCGGACGAGGAAGGCCACCATTGCTTTTTTCAAAGTATACACGATTCCCGACAGTTTGAGCTATAATTCAATTTTCTCTAGTCTAGTAGCTTCCAAGATACGTCCACAAAATTGTAGACCAAAATAGGTTTTTGGACATGATTTCACCCAGTATGCCTCTTGGAGGGTATCACTATATTGATATATATATTTTGATGATACAAAATGATACATGAAATAATCCTCCCGAGTTCTCCATTTCATTCATTGAAGTTAATTAATTAATATACATAATGATATCCTCCAAAATGCATACTGGGTGAAATCAAGTCCGAAAATCCGTCACTACCTGCCGGTGAAGTTGTAGGAAATAATGTAATTACTTCAAATTACAATAATTCCTGCATAGCAATTTCCACTGGATACACTTTTCTTTTGTTCCACTAGTTTGGTTCTTATGTCCCCGTGGTTTTTGATGTGTACCCGGACAATGCAGTTCTGAAAGGCACCAGAAGCTCTGAGCGATCATTGTCAGGAAGTGCGCTATTCGAGAAAGACTACATAATAGGTATAATCATAATCCTAATACCCCCAGCGGAAATTC